GGGGTGGAGGCGGAGATGCCGCCGCCGCAGCCGCCGCGGTGGCTGCCGCTGCCGTAGCTGTCGCCGGCGCCACTGCCTCCTCCTCCGGCCGAGACGCGGAGCGAGCGAGCGAAAGCGGCCGCGAGGAGCCCGGCGCACACCACAGCTGGATCCCTCACTCCAACTTCAAGCCTCGGCCCCGCCTCTCCCCAGCCAGCCTCGCAGCCAATCGCTGCGCGCCGCCGGCCCCGAGCCCCGCGCCCATTGGCGGGCCGCCGTGGCAGTGCGGGCGGGGGCTCCGGGGGAGAGAACCACAGCTGGAATCCGGTTCCCACCCTGAAGCCCAGGACCGCCCCTCTCCCCTCCCCTTGCCCCTGGGTCCGCTCCCGAAGGCCAGAGCCAATTAGACGGCTACCCAGACCGAACCCATTTTCCTATTGGCCGCTGGGGTCTCTGGGACTCCCCTGGAGGGAGCCCCGGGGAATCAGAGTATTCGGCGCCGGGTCCCGGGATAGCGCTGCGGGCCCCGGGGCATCCTTTGTCCAAGACCCCTGAATTGGACCGCAGCCGGAGGGCGGGGCCCAGCTCTGGGCGGGCCTGGGCAGAAGAGAGGCTGGCGGCCGGGGCTGTGGGTGGTGACCAGGGTCCCCAGAGCGAAACCCTGGGTGTCCACCGGATTAATCGCCTACCCTGGAGTCGAGCCCGGGAGCGCGACTGAAGAAGGGGAGGAGCAAAGTAGGATGTCCCCGGGGGTAGGGGCTTCAGGCTTGGAGAAACAGGCGGAGCCTAGGAAAGTCCGGGGCAAGCAAGGTCTGGGCGTGGTTTCCACCAACCTCCTTATGTAGACCCCTCTCCCAGGTCCACTTCTGCGACGTTGACCCTGACCTAACGCTAAGCCGCCGACCCTGACCTCAGGTCAACACTCCTGAGCTTCCTCCTCTCTGCCCCTAGGGATCCTTTGGAGGCCGTGGATCTCTCGCAGGGGCTTCGAGCTCGAACACGTGGCCCCAAACAGGTCAAGCCAGTCCCAGAGTCCAGGTCCCCAAGATCAGCTGAGGAGCAGAGAGAAGCTCCCTCGAAGGGACCCGCGGGGGCCTCGGGTGTGTAGGAGGGAGTGGAAGCACGGAGCTGGGCTTTGCTGGCTCTTGGCCTGCAAGGTCTTACCAACCTCCCACCCCGTGTCTCAGTTTTTCCCTCTCGAGTTCCAGTACGGCTGGGAAGGCAGCCGCAGGACAGGAGCTTCTCGTGGCTGCTCTCGCACACCTCTGCTACCGGGGGAGCGGGTCCTCGAGTGTCTGCAGCTCTCCACTCGCGCACACGCTCGTGTGCCCCGGGAACCTCGCCCCGCCCCACCTTCGCGAGTCCCCGGGCTCAGTCAGCTCCTGCTCCCTCTCACCGCCAGCGCCGCCCCAAAAGGCTGTAGGTGCCCGGGTGCAGAGCGCCGCGGGAGCGCTGGGCGCTGGAGCGAGGTGGGGCGGAGAGGGCGTCGAGCATTAGACGTCCGGAAAGCACTTCCCCACCTCTGGGAAGGTGGATAGGGCGGCGGGACCAAGAAGGTCAGTCAGTGCTGGGTCCCGAGACTTCGGGGCGCTGACGCCACTGCGGAGAGGCAGAAGCGTGGACCGGATGATCTCCCGTCCCCGCCCCCCTCCCCCCGAGCCACCCGAGCAGCCCCCGCGTGCCTCCGGCCGCCCGGGGTGGGTGTCTCAGCCCCCTCGAGGGCGGGCTGCAGCGAGTGCAGTGGGGAGGCGCCGAGGGGTTGCAGCCTCTCGGGTTGCCCTTTCGCCAAATCCGGGCACCGAGTTGTGTAAATGAGGCCGAGCTCATTTGCATTGCATGCTAATGAGCAGATCCCTTAAGTGCCTTTCCCTCCTGGCGGGAGTCTGCTCTCATTCCGCGTGTGCCGCGCCAGGCTTGAACTCTCAGCGGTCTTCTGGGAGAGGGGCCTATTTATGGTTCACTCCACGTGTCTGACACCTTCATCCCTCCCGCAGGTCCGCAGTCTGCCTGGTCGGCCTGCCCTTCCCCCACAGCGTCAAGAAGCCCCAGGGCTGGCACCAGGACGTAGGGACTTTAATCATCCCCTCTTTGCAGAGGGTACAATGAGCCCAGAGAGGCTTGCCCAGCCCAATGGTCAAGTATCCTGGTGGTCAGCAGGTCCCACACCTCCATCCATCATCCAGGCCACCCCTGTCTCTGGGCTGAGCTCTATTCTAGAGCATACCCAGGAAGGTGGCAGGGTGTGGGGCAGACACATTTACCTCTCTGGCCTTGGGACCTGGGGTGACCTGCCCCCTAAAGCATCCTGATCCCTGGGTGGGGGCACCAGGGGACCCCGCCTCAGATGCTCTCTTAGCCTGAGTGGGTAGGGGGAGAAGGGAGGCAAGACCTACAGAGAAGGCAAAAAAAAAAGGGTGAAACCCTCTTTAACTCCTACCTTCCAAGTCTCAGCTCCACCATCACCTCCTCAGAATGGCCTTTTCAGCAAGTATTGTAGTGCTTACTAAGTGTCAAGGTGCTGAGGACACAGTGCAGAGCTAGACAAGAATCTGGAACCTCAAAGGCTTCACCCAGACTCGGATTATAGGTTTACGTTTGTAGTAATGAAACCCCTCTCTAGGCTCTATGTTCCCTCGGGCAAGACTTTATGTCCATTTTGCTCACCAGAGCCTGGTCCCATGTTTGGCACATAGTAGGTACTTAATAAATCTTTATTAGATGAATAACCTTAGGCAGGGAGGAGAATGAGAGGGACAAGAAATTCCTTTCCTTGGGCCTCAGTTTCCTAACAAAGAAGTTAGGCCTAAGTGTGTCTAAGATGTCCTCTGGGTTTGAGGGAGAGCCTTCACACCTGCTCTGCCAGCCCCGCCAGCCCCCTCCAACCGTCTCCCCCTTACACCTCCTTCACAGCCTGGCTGGCTCCCTCAGGAACTGAGATAATCTTCCCATCTCTGACATGCTCTGCTCAGCGATGACACATCATTCCATGTAGTCACCTCACAGCCTTGGGAGTTGGGTGGAGGTCGTCCCATTTTTTGGATAAGAAAACTGAGGCTTGGGGAGATGACATCATTTCAGTGACTTCTCAAACTGGGAGGTCCTGTCTCCAATGGCACTGGCCCACAGCTCCTCCAGAACAGCCCCTGCTGGCTGAGCGAGGAGCGGACGCACGAGGGACCAGCAAAGGCTGCAGACTTTAAAAATCCCGTATCTGAGCAAGACTTACGTTCAGCTTTGTCCTAGTCAGAAAATGCTAGCTCTCCCGGGAGCCCTAACCCTTTAAGGCCCTAACTCCTTCCTTTGAACCTGTTACAGGATACCTTTCTCAAGCACATGCCTGGTATCAGGGGAAGGGAACTGAGGACACACAGAGCAGAGTGAAGGCTGGTAGAGAGGTAGGAAACACCAAATGCACCTCCTTGCACAACTGTGCCTGCACCTCCTGGAGGAAGAGGAAGGTTCAGCAGTTTTTACTGTACCCTGAAGGCCCCAGAAAGAACCAGATGTGATGAGTGGTCGCAGGTCCATCTGTTACCCTCCCTGGGCCTTGAATATCTAACCATCGAAGGCCAAAGGTACCTGCCTCACTGCCTCATTCGTATGGGTCAATGAGACGGACGCAGAGGGTTTTGCAAACTGCCCAGACTTTCCAGAGCCAGGGCTGGGGCTGCCAAAAAGGCCACCTGTGCTTCACCACACTCCATCCTCCCTCCTCACTGCCCCCCCCCCCAGACCCGGCTCCACTGGCCCAGTCCTCAGACTTCCTGGCCAACACTGAGCAGGCTTTAGCCAGAAAAGGGCCAGCTGACCTTGTTGGCCAGAGCCCTAATCCCCTCCAGATGGGCCAAGGTGGCTTGCACCACCACAAGCTGCCCAGCCAAAGCTGACCCTGGTCCCACTGAGCATGTGTGGCTGTGTGTGACCATGTGCAGACCTTGCAGTGACAGTCCGGTCTCCCACTCCTCCCCACTGCTGACATCCGCACAAACAGTGGCCCCACTCCAATCTCGCCTCCAACAGCCTCTTCTGGCTGTCTGTACTGGGTGGCTTTGGGGCTGCGACAGTGCCCAGGTTCAGCAGACCCCTGAAGGGTGTGGGGAGGGAGAAGCTCCTCCCATCCCCCATCCCCCCACCCCCGCCTGTCAGCCTCATCCCGCTGCACCTGCCCTTCCCAAAGCATGCTTCCCAGTACCTTCCCCGCGGCGGAAGCTAGATGGGGTTTCTGGGGTCTGTGAAGATGTGGAAGCCAAGGACAGGACTTGTGATCATCTCCCAACACGGAAGGGACAGGAGGAGGCCACAGAAAAGTACCAGCTTTCCCTGCAGCAGGAAGGAACCCGATTTGGAGAATGACTTCCAACCCAACGGATGTTCCAAATGAAGGAGAACTCTCCCCAGACTGGTTTGTGTGAAAGCAGGGGCAGGGACAGTGTGACCTCCTGCAGGGAGGCCTCCATCCTGGTAAGGCTGGGGGCTGGGTGGACACCCCCAAAATGACCATCCCTGGTTCTTAGCTCCCATGATGTGCCAGAGAATATGCAAATGTTACCCTTCCTTGAAAAATAAACACTCATGTGAAGCATCCTCTACCACTGCCCCAGCTTAAAACAGGAGACAATGGGAAGAGGAGAGCAGGCCCCTTTCTTAACCCCACTGAGGGCAAGGACTAGCCTTTCCCCTCCAGGACAAGTCCACACCCCAACCCCACCCCTGGTGATCATCACAGGCCCCCTGCCCTCAGTTTCATTCAAGCTGCAATGACCATGGACGGGGCGGCGTCAGCCTGGTGACCTCTAGAGGTGAAGAAGGAATTCGAGAAGGCAAAGGGGTCAGCCGGAGGCCCCTCTCTCCCAAGCAAGGCTGAGGCCCTGAGATTACCGCAGGATGCCGTTAGGTTTATTCCAGGGTGAGTGGGGGCCCATGGCGGGCCAGTGAGGATGTCCGAGGGCATCCGGTGACAGGGTGCCCGGGGATGGCCGCAGGGTGTGCAGGGCCCTGCCAGGCCTGAGTCTCTGATCAGCTGGGAAGCTCTGCCCCAGCCCAAGGAGGGCGAGGCAGTCACTGATGTAGCAGTTTTCGTAACTCACAGGGCTCCGTGATGGGCATTGAGCAGGCTTGATTCTCACACACGTAGGCCGTGGCCCGGTCTTCTAGCCGTCGCAGGGTACTCAGGAAGGGCAGCTGACGGGACAGGAAGCTGGAGGGGTCCCCGTTGGCCAAGATCAGCACCTGTGATAGCAGCAGAGTAGACGGTCACCCAGGGGGGCGCTGGGACACTGGCAGGGCCCACTGGTGGGCTTCCTCTCCCAGGCCTACAGAAGAGGGGATCATTGGAGAGCCGCATGGGGGTGGCAGACAAGGGAGCTGGAGGGTGGGGCCGGGCTCACAGTCTCGAACCTTGTTAGGAATGTAGATGGAGTGGACACACTGCAACAGAGCCTTGGTGTCCTTGGCCTGGGGGTCTCCACAGATCACGATCTGGCCGGAACAGAAAGGCAACTCCAGGGTCAGGTGCAGGGAGCTGGATCCACACCTACCACGGTTTCCCCATCCTCCCTCCACCCCACACTACATCCCCGGGAAGGAATGGGGACTCAGCTCAGCATCCTCCAGACCCGCTGCTGGGAGACTGCCTCAGGGAGTCACTGCTGGGCATGTGGGAACACGTACGTACACACATGGGCGCGCGCACGCGCACACACACACACACACACACACACACACACAGGCAGAGATATACAGGCAAACGTGCAAATATAAGCCGGCAGACCTGAACCCGGGGCATACACGTGCAGACAGGCAAACATTTACTGGTGAACGCCCAGTGTTCAGAGCCCCTGCCTCTTGCCCTCCCTACTCTGAGAGACCCAGTAACAGGCAGGCACAGAGGCGCTCCCTTGCCAGAGGCCTGGCTCCTCAGATGCACACTCGCTCAGATACCTCCGCTGCCTAAAGCAGCTCGTATAGATATGCCCCTGGAGACACCTGCACATGTACTCATAGATGGCCGCACGCTCACAGACCTGAGCTCTGGGGGGACAGCTCCAGGAGCCCCACCCCATGCCCCTGTCCCCCACGGCAGCCCCAGATGCCCCCCCACTCAGGGTCCCAACGCAAACGCCCTTGCCCCCCCCCACACACACACACCTGCTTGAGGGTCTGCTGATGGGCTGAGAGGGCACGGACCATCTCGGGCAAGGCCACAGGCACACGGCGCAGGCGCTCAGAGAAGGCGGTCAACAGGCTCACACACTTGTCCATCCAGTCTTTGTGGCCCGTAAAGCCGTGCAGCCGAAGCAGGTTGTGGGCCGAGACAGAGTTGGCACTGGGCTCCGCGCCATCCTGGTCTGCAGGGGGCAGCGGGGGGTGGCGGCGGTGAGGGAAGGTCACTGGGTCCCGAGACTGTGGCCAGAGTGGCGGGGGACAGGGACGGGATGCAGAAGAGTCTACCCAACCCAGCCCCCACCCCCACCCCACGAGCTGTTCAAGCCAGAGTGCTGTCATCCTTGCCTCTCCCTCCCTCTCTCTCACTCACTCCCCACTTCTAATTCCCACCCCCCTACCCACCCAAGTCCACCGGGCCTGCAGCCGGAGTAGACCTGAATCCTATCATTTCTCCCCATCTCATACTTCCGGCTCGTCCGAAGCCTTTGCCAGCCCCTGTGGGACTGAATGCCGCTGACAGGTTTCCTACCTGGTCACCCTGTTTCCCCTGCCCCCTTCTGAAGGTCCCTCCTCCATTTTCAGTCAGAATGACGTTCCTAGACCTCACCGGAGCTGATCATGACCCACTTAAAGCCCTCCAGAGACGTCCACTACTCGTCACGCCTGTAAGACCTTGCAGGGACCCAGCTTTGCCCACGTGGGCACACCCCGCCTCCGCCTCGACCCTCCTGGCCTCCCATAGCCCTTGGCTCAATGACACCTGTTCCGGGTTTGATCTGACCTCCCCGGAGCTGAGTCAGGCCCCACCGCTGTTCTCTCCCCAGGTCCCTTTGGGGACTAACGTTGATGTCAGCTGACATTGACGGAGGACCTACAATCTGCCAGACGTGCACTAGACCCTGGGCATGTAGCAACAAAAGGCAAGGCCTTGCTCTCAGGACACTTACACTTGGGTCCGGTGGGGGAGAGAGCAGACCATTAACAGACATGTCCGGTGACGGAGAGCGCTCCTGAAGAGGAAGGGGCCAGGCACCTACTCCTTTATGGCACTCTCATTGCAACCACCCATCTGCGTGTGCACTTTCGTGTTATTATTACTGTTGACTAGTTGTTTCCCCGGGGCCACGCTCTTGTACTTCGTGAGGGTAGGGACCAAGCGGGCCTCGTGTGATATATGAATCCCAAGCATGGCAGTCATTGCTGCCAAGCGTGTTCCCATAATGGCCAAATTCATCTCTCTCGCCACCCCGCGAGTACCAATGTTGGCTGTTTCACATATCGAGAAACCGACGCTCTGGAATTTAATGAGACCAACCCAAAGTCAGTTAGCGGTGGAACCCACGCAGGCTCCTTATGACCACACTGCGCTGATGCCTCCCACAGGGAGAGCCAAGCCCTTACCGGGTCCAGGCCAGCTCCAAGCCCACCACTGACCGTCCTTCAGACGCAGGGGCAGACCAGCCCCCAGCTCAGCCTCGCTGCAGAAGTAGCCGCCACCTTGGGAGTCCCAGAAGAGCCTGTCCTGGGCATCTTGCAGCCTCAGAGCCCACTCGAGCCACGAGCTCTCCTGCGAGGCCTCGTACAGGTCCAGTAGGCCCCGCACTACGAAGGCATAGTCCTCCAGGAAGCCCCAGCAGGGTGGGTTGCTGGGGCGGGGGGGGGGG